TACAAGAAAAGTTAATTTTGCTTTTTGACCTCTCTTTGTTATAAAACAATCAAAAATTCCATCTTATGTTTGCTTCCTATTTTTTTAAGATGAAAAAAATGCAGACCTGCAGTGGAATTTATTTTTGGGCGTTTCGCTCATCATTCGATAGGCGATCACGAATATCTCATCCACGTCGCTCAGAACCCTTTCCTTGCTGAGGCAATCGCTCAAAACTGCGAGAGACCCCAAGACCTGAAAAATACTCGTTTTCAAAAAATGCCCTGTAGTTTCCCCGAGAAACGTAAAATCAGAATGGACTAGCATGCTGACTAGTCGGAAGCNATTCAGCGTCGAATGGTGGGTGAAACACCCAAAAATATCTTCCACTGCAGGTCTGCATTTTTTCCATCTTAAAAATAGGAAAAAACACAAAATGGAATTTTTGATTGTTTTATAACAAAGAGAGGTCAAAAAGCAAAATTAACTTTTCTTGTATTCGAGTTGACAGCTTGTTGATTGAAGTGACTTACAGGGACAATAAAGATAGCTAGAGAGAAGTAGTTGCTCTTTTTCTAGGATTTTATTGAACCTCAACAACAGCGTCGCTACGTTGTTGAATCAACTGTTAGTACACAATGATCGTTGCATGCTGCACCAAAACAGGCATACTTTTAATGCATTATGTTTTGAGCTCACCAACAGCCACAGACACATTAATCAAGAGAAAAAAATAATGCGACCAAGAAGATCGGTTTCAGAGATCGCCTATAGTCATTTCTGATATTCCTCGCCCGATCATCTATTCGTTATCAGTTTTATCTCTAATAATCTTGTCCCCTACTCGCTATCACATTGTACTGTTTTGCACAAGCCGCCGGGATTTTTTATGCAATCAGACAGATGACAGTTAGAAATTCGTAAGAAATAGAAAGATGGCTGAATTTGGCATGCTGATTTTGGATAGAGCGCCAAGGCATTTTGGATCCGCCAAGGCAGTTTTAAAATTAGATATTTCCCTAGGCTGATTTCAAATCAACATATGCAAGCATGTCGATTTTAAATTTTTCTAGGCAAACTGGAGATCAATCTGAATTTGAGAAAAATCTGTAACATATCCCAAGCAAACGTAAAATCAGAATGGACTAGCATGCTGACTAGTCGGAAGCGTCGAAACTTTTTTTTCAACTAGTCGACATTTTACGGGAGTAGTCGGTATGTAGTCGAATTATGGACTAGTCGACAGTATTGATCAGTCGAACAAATCGTTGTCGACTAGTCGCCATTTTCTCGAGTAGTTGGTATGTAGTCGAAATTTTGATTAGTCTTTGCTGTTGATCAGTCGAGGTCAAATTGTTGTACATCAGACGCTTGATTTCTGACCAGTAGAAAATATTTTAGCTTCTGGAATTTTTTGTCAATACATTTTTACTATATTAAAACACGAAAATATGATACAGTTACATCTGGAGTAACTATATCTAATTATTACAATGTTTTTGTTGCGAAAGAATTTTCGCCGTGCTTAATGAAATATCAGTTGAACTCAAACTGTTACGCCAAGAGACACCAATAAACTTAGTTTTTCGTTGAAGGTTACCTAAGATGTAGTATGATGTATTATTCCCCCTTCTTCTGTCGAACGAAAGCTTGCAAAATTGCTTTCGAGACATGTTAAAGCTAAGTTCATTCTAAGCATTACATTTATTTAATAACATCCAATTAAAATATGTGAAAGAACCTCTGCAACGGTCTATAATTATCTCCTTCTATGTACTGCATTGGTGGTTAATAAGTGTAATCAATCGGTATTGGAGAACTGAATGCACCAACAGTGACACGCACGTTTTTCCTTTGAAAGGAAAATGACAGAAAGGAATCCTTCCTGTCATTTTTTTTGTCTTTTTGAGCGTATACAATCGTTGTTTAAAATCGTAAAAGTTGTTTATCGTCACAGTAAACATGAAGAAAAAATTAAAAGATTTGTATAATAAATTATAAAAATTAAAAAATTGAAAATTTATACTTTACTTAAAATTATTATTTTGTTTGAAACTATGGCTTTAAAGTCTGGTTCTGTTGCCCCTCGTGAGTTGAGTCAGGAAACACTATGTTATAGCTATATAACTATAACATAGTGACACAAATATATATTTGCGTCTTTTCTGATTTTAGTTATCTGTGTTGTTACTTTTGAAAATCAACCAAAAGGCACCTTTTCTCTCGTCCCATCATCATTTATTCATAGTGCGGTATTCACAAAAGGAATAAACATTAACAAAGATTATTTTTTTGTTCATCCACGTAAACGCGACCTAAGAAAACGTGGTTTTGTGTTTTATATTGGTAGGTTTTCAGGGATTCTACTGTATAACTACTTAGTTTCCTTTTATTGTCATTGAAGGACCTGAGGCCAAATGTCAAGAGTATTGCAAATTTTATGACGCTGAGGAAGTCGATTGTGTTATGTGGCTTGGCCGTTCTCAGGATTTGTTCACTGATATGTCTAACAGCGATTCATCAATGATAAGTTCTGAGAACCCTAACAACGCCAGAATTAATAGTAAAACAGCACACAAACGAAATATGTCACCAGTGGTTTTATCAAATTCGTTAATGTCTTTCGGTTCACCACCAGCGAAAAAAATAGCATATGAGATTAAAGGTACTCCAACTACCCATCGTTCTTCTGCTACTACTTCTCTAGAGTAACAACTCCTACTTCAAAAAAAGTACTAGCAATGCTAACCGATAAAAATCATGCTCCTCCAATTAATGTAACACATGTAAACAATATCACATCGAAAAATGATGTGACGAAATTGTCAGCATCATCAAGTATCCCCAAATCGTCAACACAAACACCATCGAAAGTTGCATTATCTCAAGGTGTTGTTAAAGAGTTAGAAAACGCTCGAAGAAAAATAATCGATTTAGAAGAACAATTAGCTGAATTAAAAAGAATATCAATTCGTAAGCGTTGAGGAACCGTATAACTCTTTTGTATGGTTGCATATCAATTAGTTCTAACATTGCATCTTGCTTGTCTTTTAGCATATCCAAATGCGGAACAATCGTTATATCTTCGAAATGTGGTATCTGTTCTCGATTTAAATGACAGAATTGCAAGTACTCGAGCCGCTGAGGTATACAAATACAGTGTGCTAAACACCGCGACTGTATCCTGTACATTTCTTTTTTTTCTTAGGACGGTGAAACATTATCAGTATCTGGTACTGAACTGTTTAAAGTAATGTCAATTTCAAAAACATGGAAGAAAAGAACTGTTAATTTAGTTAAAAGTTGTTATAAAAATGTTGATTTTGGAAATATGACTTATAATACTTATGCGCTATGAATGCAGAATTGATGAGAAATATACTAGGTAAGAGCGTGATGTATTCCTAATAAGGTGTTGAATTGAATTAAGTTTTTTTATTAGCATATGTAAAATCATCAAGTGTTGGTGATTCACTCAAACTCAGTTTAGTGGATGTATATCAATGATGTGTAGACATCAAAAGAGTGATAAGAAACAAAAGTCACACAAGAAGAAGATTGTTGGAGAGCAACACGAGATGGTTGCAGAAGAAAACGATGCTGATCTAGAAGAAGAAACTCGTAAAGAAGATAATGACAATAGTGAAGATGACGATGAAACAAAAGAAAATTAGAATGAAACATTAATAATGAACACTAATCATTTGTACGCAAAATTGGCCATATAACTTTTATGTATAAATATAATTATTGCTCTGCTTTTCTTGTTTTGTGTAACAAATAAAAATGAGTACACTCGTCAAATGAGAATACAACAATAACAACTTTCTTTGTTCTTAGAAGTAAAGAGATATCTGTTCTTTCTCCCATGCCAGTTTGTATGCGTATTTCATTCATCTTATTCTATTCTGATCACAAAACGTGAACAATTAGTCATTAAATTATGTTTAGATGAGTTCAAAGCGAAGTTATTATCGTAAACGTCAGAAACCTAATGTGCTCGATTTAACTATTTATAAACTGGATATTGTGAACGAAGCAACAACATCTACCAAGGTTCTTGTAGCTAACACGTCGACACCATCAATTGCTTCATTCGCCGGTTCGTAGAACCGGTTCCATACGATGTACTACTATGATTTTCTAGAAAAAATCTCAGTTCGACGAACACAACAAACACAAGAAGATATTGCTACTTCTAGTGTCATTTTTAAAGTACGCCGCCGTCAGAATAATGCCGATATGAATTTTTTGGCTCAATTTTTACATGCGTTGAATGTATCAAACGCACCACTTACCTGGAATTCAATAAAAAGGAAAATTAGTCTTAACAAGCAGTTTAAATCTGTTCATTACAATTTATGCTCCAATTGTGGTGCAATTGTCAACAAGGGTCTAACGTTATGCACAACATGTAAATGTAGTCAATTGATTGATTTCTTTTATTACCCTCTTGTCGAACAAATACAACATCTTTTATTGATTAATAATATTTATAGTGATATGATTAATACACGAGTAAATAATGTCAAAAATTTATCATGTACACAATATGGACACATTTTAATGGCTGAATGTGCTGATACATCGTTCACCATGTTAATTAATGCTGATGGTGTTGTAACAAAAAACAAAAATATCAATTTGTGGCCGATTACTTTCATGGTGAATAAAATATCATTACCACGAAGAAGATATACAGAATGTGTTATTTTGGGTGGGGTAATTCCAGCCTCTATTCATCCATCGAATGCAGTAATGGCTACATGTTTGAGCATTATCAATGAAGATCTAATTCAATTAGAAGATGGCCTAGAATATTTCATTCCAGAATATGGTCGTTGCACATTGAAATTCTTTTTAATTGGCTCATGTTCCGATAAGCCGGCTCAAAGTTTAATAGCAAATATGTCCGGATTCAATGGTGCATTTGGATGCGGCAAATGTTTCGCACAGGGTGAGAAGAGTCAACTATTACAGGGAAACAATTGGATTCTTTATTCGAACCTTTAGGAGAGGTTCACCATGGAACTAACACAAGAGGAAAAAGATACAATATGCGTATCTTTCCATACGAACAGTCCGAACGACGAAACAACAGCGTTTGTCAAAAGTACTGGGGCTTGAAACAAAAGGGGCATTGCGGTATGTTTGTTTACATGAATGTACTCATTCATTGTATTATGCTTAAGGACTATTTTCTGTGTTAAGGTCCATGTGTGCTGACAACGTTAAAATACTTCGAATATGGAAAATCTTTCTTATTCGACAATTTGCATACGTTATATCTCGGTGTTTTCAAAACTTTGTGTAAGCTATTTTGATTCTAAACATCGAACACATCCATCCTCATTATATAAGAAAATTGAACAAATTGACGATGCGCTGGCACATATTCGTACACCAACAACGACATCAAGACGCTTTCGATCTATAAAAAAGATTAAAAAATTCAAAGCAAATGAATTAAAATCTCTTATGCATCATGGTAGCACGGTGCTATTGGAATATATGAAGCCTGTTTATCGTGAACATTATTCGTTACTATTAGCGGCAGTTAATTTAGCATCACAGGTAAGCGACAGGAGTTGAACAGGTTTGCATTAACTTTGTTTACTTGATAATAATTTGATTCGATTCTTCGCTTCACTACACGCTTAATTATAGGATATTGTTACATTAGAAAATATTGAAGCAATCCGGTTGTTGTTAGACGCTTTTGTTGAAAAATATGAAAGAATTTACGGTGAAAGATACATGGTATCGAATGTGCATTCGTTACTTCATGTTTACGAAACTGTTGAATATATTGGTCCACTTCATTTTTGTTCTACTTTTAATTTTGAAGGTAAATGAACAAACAACGCTAACCATCTTAATTATTTTTCTTTTTCTATCTAAATGAGGTATCGGTCATGACCTAGTATCGATGGTCCATGGAACAACATATTATGGTCAACAACTAATCGCCCATCATCAATATTTTCGCCAAGCCATCATCAACATGGCGAACGATAACTATCCATGGAAGTTGTATACATTCAATGAAAAGATGCTATCGAGAAAAGCAACATCATCGAATGATATTTGTTTAACTTCATCCGTTCCAGAAAACATATACGCGTTGAAGTCGGACGAGATTAAGGAACGATTATCAGCAGATATAACTTATCATCATCAAATTATTATAAAGAATGTGCATTTTCGAACACTAATATCTGTTACGTCATTAAATTTTGGCGACTGTTGTGTAACTTGTGCGTTTGGTGATGAAAAAATGTTAGCTTTTATTAGAGCAATAGTCAAAAATACATTGACGAATAGAATTATGATTTTTATTGAGCAGTTGATAGAAATAGATAACAAAAGCCTAATGTCGAAAGTTGTCCAGTTTAAGTGCAATAATGAAATGAAATCGATTCCAAATATTTATATATGTAAAGCATCAAAAATTTATATGTTTCGTTCAGTATCAGATATTATACAAAAGCATGCCTTTCGTTTTCGTCCAAATAATATTGTGCATGTTCTAGAATATTCAACTTTGAATGAGAGCAGCTAATGTTAGTTAATA